TATTTGATGGATGTGATGGACCATTACAGATGGGGTAATCTTTTGTTTGAACTCTTTTGTGTTTTAAGCTTAAGCTTATGCTTGTTTAGACATGGTTTTGATGATTAACCAGTTGGTGCATCAATTGTTCTGTAGGGAACTGTTATTGTTTATATGTTTTAATTGGCCATAAATTCTAGAAATCTATTATTAATTGCTTTCTGTGCCTAATGTTGAAAGTTCCGAACAGAAGTTTGACAAAATTTGTCATTTGAGGTCAAATAGCTTCTTCTATCGATGCATGAGTCTCCCTTTCTGTGAAAAATTCTGTTTGAATGACCTGTCTTCTAGGACTTCCAAATTACTGAAACTGTGTATGAAGAACATTATTGATTTTCAAAACTTTCATGTTCCACTAACTAGTTATTATTTTACTGATATTAAATAAATCTGGTGAACTCGGTGCTGCCTACAATTTAACTAAATGTGGATTATAGGCAATCATACTGATGCATATGGAATTTCTCTTTCCTTCATTTTGCAGGCAAAGTAATTAGAAACGAATAAAATGTCCTTGATCATCTTTCACTTTGTGAAGTGCATTTTTTTTTTTGGTTAGATGTGTGTTTATGTGTCAGATCATTTAATTTGCTTTTCTCTTAAATTCTTCAGGAAGAGAAGGTTAACAGACCACTGGAGGAGATTTATACATCCTCTTATGTGGCGCTGCAAATGGTTAGAAGTTAAACTACATGACTTTAAGTCTCAGGCACTCAAGTACGACAGAGAACTTGCCAAATATAGTCAAAGCGAGCAGTTTGAATTTGGAAACGTTACCTCTCAAGGATTTGATGCAGAGTTGCAAGCTTTTCCTTCAAAAATTCAAAAGAAGGAAGTAATGAAGAGGAAGAAAAGAAAACGAGTAGAAGATACTGCTGATGTTGCATCATACATGTCTGATCATAATATATTCTCCTATTATGGTATGATGCTTATGATTTTTCTCCATATGATTTTTATTTTACAAAAAAAAAAATTAATTAAGTTTTTCTCCCCTCCTCTCAGAAAGTAAGAAGTCTGTTGTTGCTTCTTCTGCTCTGGATGATGATTGGGGTGAAGGTAAGAAGTGGGAATTATCTTTTGTTTCAACTTATATGACTGTATTTTAGCTTATGTGTAAAGCCAGCCAATGAGGATATAATATATAAACATTGTAATCTGTAAGCACTTCTTTGTTGTATAGTATATAATTAAAGTTTATCTAATAACCCAACTAGTTGTAACTTTTTCATCTGTGGATGGCTGCGAGCATTGAACTTATAGGCTGCTCCATTTTATCAGCAGTTATGAAGATATCAACTTGAATTTTTGCTATTTAGAATACTGATATATAACTTAGTGCATAGTTCTGCTTCTGATAAGTTACATGAATTTCCTCAATTCTGCTTTTTATGAATTATTATAGTAGTAATTATAGTTAAATTTTTTATTCATTAATATGCTGTTGGTTCCAATGTTGATTTTGGTGGATTTGAAGTTTTCAAGCTGTATTTGGTTTTCTCTGATAAAATGAAAACAATCTCTGAGGAAGCCAATATGAAATTGATATGACAGATTCTCCTAGATGTAATGAGTTTCAGTCTCTCTTAACAATGGATAATTGTTGTTATATATGTCTCTTTTATCACTGATTTAAGGATATACTTTTTTTGTTTATCATTATTTAAGAAGTCCTCAGAGGTTTACTGGTTATTTTTTATAGGTTTGACATTTGTATATATCTTCTTTAAAAAAAATAAAGTTCTCCATTAATTATTGGGGATTTTGCGCATTTTCTTTCTATGTCATGATTTTTGCAGATAATAAAACAATTGATCTCATGATTTCTACAGATAATAAAACAATCAATGGCTATGATGATGGTGGTGGATGGCCAATTTTTAAATCTAGAGATGGTGATAAATGGTCAGAACAGATCCTTCGGAACATTGAAGTGCTACGGTCAAGAATACAAAAACTAAAGACCCGAATGGGCAAGTTGATGACTGAAAGTCCTCAAAAGTTCTCATCAATCAATATGTTGAGTTCGGCTGTACCATGTGATGTAGTGAACAATTCTGGAAATCAACTTTATCCTGATAAAGGAGATGGAAATAGTTCACATTGTACTACATCCCAGCATGAATCTGAGTGTGACATGAGGGATAATTTTATGCCTGGAAGTGCAGTTTCAAGTCATGGAGTGGTGGCCCCCTTTCCTGATATGATCAGGAGCATGAGTAGGCGTCTGCTGGAGATTTCCTCTGAAAATGTGAGTTTTTCTAAGTCAAAATAATTTTGCTGCACTTTCTTTATTACTTTGTTCATACACCATGATTATGTAACCGAAAATCCTCTCCTTTGCCTGCACAATCCATTACTGTAGTTTATGTGAGACAAGAAAATGGTTTTACTTGTAATGTTGGTGTTTTCAGCTTCTACCAATGCCCGAGCTTGTTCCAGTGCAAGCTTACTTGCATGCATGAAACATGAAACATTTTCTGCCCCTCACCCTTTCGATTCCTCCTCTTTTTACTCCTCTTCATTTATCTAGTGAATAACATGCCTTTCTTAATGATGCTATCATGTTTTGCTATAATCAAGATTTACATATATAAAAGAAAAATTCTTCGGGGTTTCATACTGGGTTAGCTATCAAATTTGCTTTTCTGCTATCAATTTGTCTTCTCTAATGTAACTGGTCATCGTGTGAATGTGCAGATTGAGGGAGAAATTCTAATACCTAATGAGGCAGCCAAGGAGGAGTTGTGTAATTTTGGAAGTGCTATAAGTCAGCAGGCGGAGAAGCCTCACATATCCAGGAGAAGCTGAAAACCTTTTCTCTTGTCCAGGCTCCTGGAGACACTTTTTCAAGTCAACGCAATCTGATAAGAGAAGGACCTGATGGGAGCAATAATTAGGCTTAGGTAGTGGAGCTGGAGATCCTCAGGTTAGCTGGCTTCTTTCAGTTGAATATAGCTTCTATTCATATTCGAAGAGATGGAATATCCTATAAAACAAGAGGTCAACCTTTTCAGCTTTTGATGATGATATGTTCACTAATGTCAAGTGTAGATTCTGCTATCCTCTCATTTTGCTTCCTGCTGCAACTCAAGCTTGTATATGCTACTTCTCAGCTTAGCTGAAACATAAATGTTAAGTTCAGATGCTGTGCGGTATCTAGATTACTATGATCTGTTTTGTTTGATATTACTCTTTCTCTTTTTTTTTTTGTTTTTTTGAGTGAGGGTTTCAGAAGGGAGAAGTGAGAGGTTTTGAGCCTGGTTTTTCCTGTCTCATCCATAGTTATGAATATCGTACAATATGTGGTACATATACAATACGGTATAATATTAATAAAAAAATGATTTGTATCGATAATTGTATCATATTTGATTAAGTATTAGTTGTATCATATTTGATTAAGTATTAGTTGTATCATATTTGATCAAGTGTTGGAAGTGTATCGTATAACACACAATACCTATGTTGATATACAAGACGATACACTTTTAAAAATTTAATTTTAACTAATTATTAAAATTTTATTTATTTATTTAAATTGAAATGTGAAAAAACTTTTTTTTATAAATTTCAATGGTTTAGATTTTAAATACAAAAATAGTAAAAGATTGAATTTTATTTAAATATTTTTTCATTTTTAATTAATAAATTAATATAAAAATTATATATTATTTAAAATATATATTGAGAATTCTAATTAAAAAATAATCATATTTCAATTTATGTTCTATAATCTTCAATTTTATTAAAAAATATAATATTTTTAAATTTTTTTATTTTACATGTATAAATGTTATTTATGATTAATTTTATTTTTTTTATTGAATAAAATTTCAATGCATGATACGTATTTTAATTTAACAACTAAATTATTTAGTTTTTAGTTTTAAATTTCTATTTCACTAAAACTCTTTATCTCCCTATAAATCGAAACTGAGCAAATATTTTTTTAAAAAAAATTACAGCTAGGGAATGTTCACAGCTATGCTGCTTCTAGTACAAGTACAACTAATTGGCTTATTTGGGAAGCATCTTCGTTTGTTTTTGATTCCGATTCTAGGATGTTGGATTTTTGTGTTAAGAAGAATTTGCAGGCTTCTAATCTCTAGGGGTTGTACACTTTGTAGCTATTTGCTTTGTATATTTAAGAAGCCGAAATTCGTTTCTCGTCACCATTTCAAATTATAAATTATAATTTCTTGATCCTAACGATTTAAATTTAATTATGTACAATTTTAAAAGTTTTAAATTTGAATTTTGATATAAGAGGAGAATTTATGTAATAAAAAGGAAAACAGACTTCTCATTATGTAAGTACGATCACATGTAAAAAAAAATGTATACAATGTCACACAAATAAGAATCATTTTTAAAATCGTACTTAAATAAATTAATGAACAAAATTAAAAATTGAAATTGTGGTAATTAATTCTAAATATACGTATTTGGACACAGGTTGTTTACATTGTAACTTAATTAGTTCAAGTTATAATAAACTTGAAGGTGAATTGATCATATGGTTTGCCTAATCTTCATCAATTAATTAGCATTCATTATTTAGAGCAAGAGTTTGAAAAATATGAGGATAGGACACATCCCTAGCATAAATTAATCAGTTTGATAATTAATTTGATAATTTTTTATAATAGTTTGAAGTATTCCAGCGTGGTACTCGTATGAAGTTAAAAAATGAAACGATGGATTCAGGTATATGGCTTCCCTCTTATATGTATAGACACATCCCCAGCATCTCCTGCAGAAGCCATATAATCAGTTTCTCTCAACCATGGTAGCGTGCTTCTTTATCTTCATCTTCATCACCATCTCCATCTCTGTTCTCCTCAAACTCATCTTCAGCTATCTCACTAAAACAAGAAAACCATCTCGAAACCTGCCGCCAGGGCCTCCTCCTCTCCCCATTATTGGTAACTTCCTCTTGTTCCGCAAATCTTTCAACGACCTTCAGTGTATACTTCAGTCCCTTCATGCCCGATTTGGTCCTATAATCACCCTCCACTTTGGTTCTCGTCCAGCTATTTTCGTTGCTTTCCATTTCTTGCCCACCAAGCCTTGGTTCAAAATGGTGCCATTTTTGCTGACCGCCCTCCAGCTTTGGATGGTAGAGAACAAGTCGTTATCACCACTGCCCCCCATGGCTCCACATGGCGGGTGCTTCGCCGCAACCTTACAGCAGAAATGCTCCAATCTTCTCGTTTGAAATCTTATTCACATGCACGTAAGTGTTGAGATAGAGAGAGGAATATTTTGAAACAATGGCTTAGCTATTCCATTGATTGAGAATGAAAATATATATATAAAAATTGAGTATTGTCGTGAGTTACCAAAAACACAAAAATAGGAAATTATCCTAGAATTACAGGATTACAACTAATTACAGGATATTACAAGAATTTAAAATATAAGGAAAGCCTATTGCAATTAATTTTCTAATATGCCCCTTCAAGATGGAGCTCCGGAGGAGATGCCAATCTTGATTCTCAATTCTTGGAAGCGGTTTCGGGGAAGTGGTTTGGTAAGAGCATCGGCAAGTTGATCTGATGAGGAAACATGAGTAACACGAAGAGCACCTGATTGAACTTGATCTCGAATAAAGTGATAGTCAATTGCCACATGTTTCATGCGCGAATGAAAGACTAGATTAGAACAGAGATAGGCAGCACCAACATTGTCACAGTAGATAATAGGCGATGTAGGAAGAGTTATGCCAAGCTCGGTGAGAAGGGAACAAATCCAATTGATTTCTGAAGTAGTAGTGGCAACTGATCGATACTCAGCTTCTGTGGATGACCAAGCAACGGTACGCTGTTTCTTGGATGACCAAGAAATAGGATGACAACCAAGATAGACAATATAGGCACTCGTAGAGGTATAGTCATCTTTGTTGCCAGCCCAATCTGCATCTGAGAAAGCATGAAGAGAAAGTGGATTTACCTTACAAAGAAATAAGCCATGAGTCAGTGTGCCACACAAATATCGAAGCAGTCGTTTTGCAGTATTCCAGTGTTCAGATGTCGGGCGATGCATGAATTGAGAAAGCTTGTTAACAACATATGCTATGTCTGGGCGAGTAAGGCAAAGATACTGTAGACTGCCAACAATTGTTCTATATTCTATGCAGTCATTTAGAGCTGTACCTGAATGAAGTGTGAGATTTTCATCTGTAACAAGTGGTGTAGCAACAGGTTTTGCACCAGATATTTTTGTCCGAGCAAGAAGATTAGTGATGTAACGCCGTTGAGTAAGCAACAGACCAGATGGAGTGGTGAGAACCTTAATGCCAAGAAAATAAGACAAGGCGCCAAGATCTTTGATTGAAAATCTTTGTGCCAGGAGGTCAATGTAGTGCTGAATAATATTGGGGTTGTTACCTGTGATAATAATGTCATCCACATAAACAAGTAGATATACAGTAATGTCACTTGAGTGGAGAATGAATAGAGAGGTGTCTGCATGAGAGTTTGTGAACCCAAAATCAATGAGGAACTGGCGAAGTTCAAGGTACCAAGCCCGTGGGGGCTGCTTAAGTCCATATATAGCTTTCTTTAATTTGCATACATGTGTTGGATTGTCTCTATCAACAAATCCTGGAGGTTGGGCCATGTAGACATCTTCGGAAAGACGACCTTGAAGAAAAGCATTATTAACATCCAATTGTTGCAATTGCCAACCTCTACTGATTGCCAGGCTTAGAACAAGCCGTATTGTTGTTGGCTTGACAACCGGACTAAAGGTGTCATGATAATCCACTCCAGGTCACTGATGAAAACCTTTGACAACTAATCTAGCTTTGTACCTGTCAATAGAACCATCAAAAAGCCGTTTAATATGAAAAACTCACTTACATCCAATAAGATTCTGCATAGAAGTAGATGGAACAAGCTCTCAGGTTCCATTTTGAACAAGAGCATCAAATTCATCATTCATAGCTTGTCTCCATTTGGGATCTTTAAGGGCTTGGTTAATAGTATGAGGCTCAATGTATGATGGCTGAGAAAGGATAGCAATGAGATTCATCTTGGTTAGGGGTTTATGGATATTGTTTTTCGCTCTAGTGGTCATGGGATGGGTATTTTGATAGGTGGGTTGAGTTGTTGTGGAGGTAGAAGAGGTCTCAGAATTGTGGGGTTCTAGTGGTAAATGGTTGACCGTGGTTTCTTGGCGGGCAACAGAACTGTGTCCGAGTAAAGGGAGGTCTGTGGATAGAGGTCGACGGTCGACTAGCGAGGAGGGGAAGTCGATTGTTTGGGCATTGTGTGACGGATGTTGACACGAGGAATCCCTTTGTGGAGGCGTATTGAGTGAGCCACTTGAAGTGGGTAGAGTTTGGATCGGGGGAAGCCATTTGGAAATGATCTCTAGAGTGGGACGAGTTAGATGGGATTGGTGAGTGGTAAAGGGAAAAGAGTTTTCGAGAAATTTGACATGACAAGAAATATATGTTTAGAAGTGGACAGGGCAAGACAGATATAGGCACTTTGTGATGAAGAGTAACCAAGAAAAACATAAGCAGTGGAACAAGAGTCAAGTTTATGTTAGAATAAGGACAAAGCCACGGATAACATAAGCAACCGAACACCCGAAGTTTAGTGTAGTTGGGTGGAGACTTAAAGAGTTTTTCAAAAGGAGATGAAAGATGTAGTGTGGGTGTGGGCATACGGTTAATGAGATATACATCAGTGGCCAAGGCGTAAGTCCAATAAGTTAGAGGCATCGATGCATGAGTGAGAAGAGCTAGACCAGTTTCAACAATATGGCGATGATGTCGTTCGGAAAGACCATTGTGTTCTGGTGTATGGGGTGGTGTAGTAAGATGCGATATGCCATTGGTGGAGAGAAAACGATCAAGGGCTTTATATTCCCCACCATTATCTGAATAAAGGGTAACAATTCGGTGTTTAAATTGGTTTTCGACTAATACCTTGAAGCACACACAGACATCATATATGTGGGATTTTCGTTTAAGTGGATAATACCAAATATACCGTGTATAATGATCGACAAAAATAACATAGTACTGAAAACCATCAATAGAATAAACAGGAGAGGTCCATACATCAGAAAAGAGAAGTTCAAGCGGATGGGATGAGGTTAAGGTAGAAGAAGAAAATGGAATTCTATGACTTTTATTGCATGAACAGGCATTACAATGTGTGGAAGAGGATAACGGACTAGACAGTGGTAAAGAAAACTTGGAAACAATATTTTTCATAATAGTAAATGATGATAACCTAGTCTAGAGTGCCATTCAGACGAAGAGGTCTTGACATTGGAAAATGCAAGCAACGGTGAAGAGGTAACGAAAGGGGATGTAGTCGGCCACTCATATACGTCATCCTTAGGTTCACCATCAAGAACTTAATTTAGATCCTTCACCTAAAAAACAGAGGGTGAGAATTCAACAGAAACATGGTTATGAGTGCAAAATTAATAAATCAAAATTAAGTTCTTTTTCATGGAAGGGACACAAAGGATGTTTTGTAAAGTAAAGGTGCAAGAAGAAGTGGGAATGATGGTAGAACCAGTATGGGTGATGTCAAAGGCAGAACCATCGCTATCATGACATTGTCAGGTCCTTGATATGGGCTATAAAGAGAGAGATTGCTCAAGTCAGACGTAACGTGGTGAGATGCTCCATTATCCAACAGCCAGGTAGGAGTAGTGTTGTTTCCAAGAACAGCATGATTGGCTCATGGTTGCCAGGGTGGGGAGGGGCGATATCCTTGAGAGCCTTGAGGGCGAGGTGTCGGTGATTGTTGATTAGAGACAAGCCGAAACATCGAGCATCGTTTGACAGTGTGTCCTTGAGTGCCGCATGCTTGACAACGACCCAAATAAGGTTTGTGTTGGCGTTGATTAGGAGGAGAAAGTGCAGTGGCAGGGCCTAGTTGTTGTGGATTGGTGGCTTGTGGATGCTAATTTGGACGATTTCGAAAGGCTGTGAGATTTGTCGTGCCGGTAGAGACAGAGAAGGTGGTTGAGCAGTCTGAAGAGATGCTTCTTTGTTGAGAAGTTTCTCATGGAGCTCTGAAAAGGAAATTGACGTGTCGCGGGCATTGATTGCATCAATGACGAATTTGTACTCATCACTGAGTCGGTCAAGGACTTGATCAATAAGATCTTCATCATCAACTGGTGTCCCCAAAAGAGCAAGTTCATCGGCACGGGTCTTTATCGCCTGCATATATTCACTAATTGATTATGAGCCCTTGGTACACCGCTTTAATTGCTCCTTCAATTGTTTAATATGACCACGAGATGGTTTGGCATAAGTATTAGCTAAGGTTCGCCATGCATCAAAGGAAGTGGTGGTGCGGGCAATGAGCGGTTGCAGTGAAGAAGAGATAGCACCAAGGAGCGCGCTAAAGATGAGACGATCTTGACGCTTTCAGGTTGTGTATGCCGGATTCGGGAATGCGGCACCATTGACTGTGACGGTGGGTGTGGTGAAGTATGAGTGCCATCAATGAAGTGATGAAGATCATAACCTTCAAGAAGAGACTAGATTTGAAGGCTCCATGTGAGGTAGTTGGTGGATGACAATTTGGTGATATTGGAGAGATTGATTGTAAGGAGGGGATGTTGAGGATCTTGGGAGTTTTGGATCGTGAGAGGATCGTTGGTGGAAGAGGAGGTCGCATCGGAAGCCATTGAGGAGTGGGGCAGTGTAGTTTTGGATATATATATATATATATATATTAATGAAGGATGCTGATCGTGGTGTTTCGATGAAGAAAAAAAAAAAGAGAAGAGAATACGCCCAAGAAGATTAGGCTCTGATACCATGTTGAGATAGAGAGAGGAATATTTAGAAACAATGGCTTAACTATTCCATTGATTGAGAATGAAAATATATATACAAAAATTGGGTATTGTCGTGAGTTACCCAAAACACAAAAATAGAAAACTATCCTAAAATTAGGGAAATGCAACACAAAAATAGAAACTATCCTAGAATTACAGGATTACAACTAATTACAAGATATTACAAAAATTTAAAATATAAGGAAAGCCTATTGCAATTAATTCTCTAATAGTAAGTTGGTACTGGAAAGACTCTTGAAACTGCTCAAGGTTCAGTCTAAATCTAGTCATCATCTGGTCCAGGTGATGGAACATTTTCGCTTCTCCATGTTTAGCTTGGTAGTCTTCATGTGCTTTGGAGACAAGTTTGAAGAAAAGAAAATCAAGGAAATAGCAGATGTTGAGAGGAATCTAATGCTGAGTTTTAGTCAAGTGAGTATGATTTCTTTTTGGCCAAGAGCTACAAAGATTCTGTTTCGTAAACAATGAAAAAAGATTTTCAAAATACAAGACAAATCGAAAGATTTAATTGTCCCTTTGATTCTAGAATGGAAAAAGGTGAAAGAAGAGAAGATAAATGCGGGTGGAAATCAGATCAACAAATATGTCTTATCCAATGTTGATACCTTGTTAGATTTGCAGCTACCAGAAGAGAACAGGAACCTCAGCGTCGAAGAAATCCTTGGTTTGTGCTCAGAATTTCTTAATGGAGGAACAGATAATACATCCACACTGTTGGAGTGGATTATGGCAAATTTAGTGAAATATCCGCACATCCAAGAGAAGTTGTTCATCGAAATTAAAGCGGTCATGGGAGATGATGAAGAAATGGTGAAAGAAGATGACTTGCAGAAGATGCCATATCTAAAAGCAGTGATCTTAGAAGGTTAAGGCGACATCCTCCCCTGCACTTTTTGATGCCTCGTGCAGTGACAGAGGATGTGGTTTTAAATGGTTATTTGGTGTCAAAAATGAAACTGTGAATTTCATGATAGGAGACATGGGATAGGACCAAAAGTTGTGGGAAGATTCAATGCCATTTAAGCTAGAGAGGTTTCTTAGTACTGATAATAAGGATGGAGAGGGATTTGATATTACGGGGAGCAAAGAGATTAAAATGATACCATTTGGTGTAGGAAGAAGGATTTGTCCAGGGTATGCTTTAGCCATACTTCATTTGGAGTATTTTGTGGCAAATTTGGTCTGGCATTTTGAATGGAAAGCTGAGGATGGAGATAATGTCAACATGGAAGAAAAACATGAGTTCTCAGTAAGGATGAAGTATCCGTTGCATGCCCTTATATCGCCAAGATTTTGATGAGAATACAGTCAATGGTAAACTTTTACATGATAAAAGCCATTTTAGCAACTTTGCTTGAGCTTTGCTTCAACTTGCTGATGCAGTTATTATAGTGATTCTTACCAGTAGAAGGCAAGAAACATCAATTTTGAAGAAAAAGATTGCTAGTCCTGCTTGCTTTTTTAACCATTTTTTCTTTCCCGGTTGTAGTTCTTTATGTATGAGTAGAGACTTCATTTCATCTTATCAATGCAATGTGAAACAAAAATGGTCATTTCAGGTGCTTTCTGTTTCAAGTCTTAGGATATTGATGCTTCAGTAATCTTTGTCCCAACTACCCATGTAATTTAAATATATATAAAACCAACCATTTAATTCCGTGCTCACTGATGTTATCAGATAAGTTTATTATAAGGATAATAATCCTAAATTATATACCTACCCTATTGTTATGAATTCTGAATTAGGCTCATCGGTCTGTGTAGAGATCTTGTTTGTCACACTCATAAACTTTAATCCCTAAAGAGTATTTTTGACACGAAAATATGACATATTACAATAAGTAAAACAAAATACACTAAAGGTGGTAGAGCAAAAAAATTGAAGTAATTTTTGAAGTGTAAATATTTGGGTGACAGACAATGAGGAATAAAAAAAGTGAAATAAGTAGAAAAAACGACGAAACACGATAAATAGAAAGAGTTGGTAATGAGAATATTCGGAACAACTTTGATAAAGTTTTGAAAGTAATTTCTACTATATTTCTAACGATTTTTTTCTTTGTTTAATTGTCAAACTTTCATATTTATTCTACATAGGAATGCCCTTTTAAGAGCCATTGGTAAAAAAAAAAAAACATTCTTAAGAGAATGCTTTTTATGTGAAAGAATGTGAAGTGTTTTTAAGAGAACACATTTTATATAAAAAAATGTACTTGTTATGAAAAAAGCACGTTTATTATAAAAAAAAACGATATATATAAAAAATATGTTAAAAGAATGGCTTACGGGAAGTTATGAAAAGAGCATATAACTAGACGGTGAGCGTAAATTTTGAATAATGAAATAGTAATACTTAACAATATGCATACATGTTCTCTTAAAAAAAAAGATTTACTTTAATAAAAGGTTAAGAGAAAATGCTTTTAATTGCTACATATATGATCCACCGAATCAAACTCTTATGAGCATCACATACATGAAAATAACTCGTAAACTTGCCACTTATTCTGAATTACTTTCATTTTTCATTTCTCCTGTAGTATAATTGTTCCACACTTTTCTTATTATGTTAGACAATATTTTAAAAAATATATTAATTAACTAAAATTGAGCATCAACAATTACTCATTATCAACTTTGAAAGAATTCCTGAAAAAATTCATCATAAGGAAATCAGTTTGTTCAACCTAAAGTGATTCCAAACAGCATGCTGCGGTGGCTGACGATGCTGAAATTATTCACGTCCCAAGAGGCTAGGAAGCAATGTATATAAAGGAAGAGCCAAGAATATGAATTAAGTTCTAGTGAGGCATTTATCAAGATTGATGGACCTATTAAGCTCTCATGCACGACTGAGTTATTAGATGAACTGCAAAGCTGTTTGTTCAGTTCTAATAAGAGTTCATCGGATGACAAAAAGAACTCTTCATACCAGAGATATTAGCAAGAATAACATCAACTTGAATAAAAGTAATATCTAGCTATTAAAGTAGTATTCCTTTTTTCCCCTTTTAAGTATTATCAACAACAATATTTATACCTTATAGCTTTATACAAAATGATCTGTGACATTTAAGATGAACGATGATACGCTGTCTTCATAATCATGTTAGATGTAGCTCTGACCTGTGTTTCTGTTCCATCAATTTTTCTTCATAACAATACATCCCAATTACATACATAGCACATCTGCAAAATGAACTTTTACAGCAGAAACCTATCGCAAAAGAGAGTATTATCAACACATTATAACTCCTACTTTTTGAAGGCCTTTGCATGAAAGCTAATTCGATTTTCTTTAGATGGGATTTTGTCTGAAACCGAGAACCCTCTTAATAAAGAGTTTTATGGTTCTTCAAGCAAAGGGTCTAACAATTGGCAACGGGCATGATCCCTCTCCATCATATCAATGAATTCATTTGTGCAAAGAAAAACCTCCATAAAGAATTCAAATGTTTTCTTACCAAATCATTCGAGGCTGTAAAAGCAAGAGGATTCATGTTACCACATGGTAACCTCCATATATATTTCTCCAACAGCAATAAATCAATGACCATCGAATGGAAAATTTGACTTTGAGCATTTGAGGTGAGCCCCAAACTCCTTATCTTCAGAGCTTTCTCAGTATCTTGCATCAGCCTCTTTTCAAAATAAAAAATGATTACACTTTCCTAATCAATGTACTATAATATCCATCTGTAGTCCATCCTTGATTTCCTCTGAGAACATTCCTCATGCTCTGCTTCAACATTCCCTCCACATCACTAACCAAGCATCTCAAAGTCTTCAGTACAATTTTCTTGGTATCTTATGCATAACTCATATCTTGAATCCACATACAGCTCCTCTAGCATCATTCTGAACAACCCAGGATTTTATCAAGTTGTCATAACTGCTTGAATCAAGATGATACTAAGCAGCCAGATATGGAAGAACTTAACCCCAATGCAATGCATCTCATCAGGTCATGCAATAAGCCACCACCTAAGTTATTAAGTCAAATACATTAGCTGATAATATGTACTGAAGCAGAAGATCTTTCTCTGACATGATTTATTTCTAAACTCATTTTATAATTAGGAATTAAAGAGATTTTCAATCTGTACTTTAAAGAATATCACTGGGCTAGACAATTATTTTCATTCACAGTATTCTTATCACAGGCAGTGAAGCAACAACAGCATAGAGCTCCACCTCAACAATTGCATTTAACTTAGATGAAGCTATTAATTAGCATTAAGAGGGTTCTGAGTCAATATACGAAGTATTCCAAAAACCTTATTTTGTAGACGTCCTACCCCATAGTGTTGGCTGTACAAGATCCAAGGCATCACCCTTTTGTGCTTCGTGTTGCCTCGCATAATGTTTGATAAAGATTTTCCATAGGCAGTCTTCCTGCTATAAGACAAACAGATGGAAATTAAAATTTAAAAAAGAAAAAGAAGGATGATGGCTAGTAAAGACAAATGATTTTTTTTTGTTAAGTGACAAATGATTTATTGTCTAGAAATTAAATTGCTCCAAATTTAGTAAAGCATACACAAACTACTAAGAGCAGACTGGTGGATTTCGTCCTTTGCTGATTTACATCAATTGATAACAACACACTTATTTCATAAAATGTCTTCAATAAGCATATTTCTATAGTTTCATCTAAAATAAAACTTGAGCAATCTTGCATTCCACTGATTATATGTATTAAACTTCCTTCTGTTGTGTGAAAATTCATTCATTCCAACAGGGAGTATTACAGTAGGAAAAACAAGGGACAGCAAAAGGAAATTCATTTTTTTGTCCTTTCTAAAGAAGAAACAAGTGATAGTGGTGGCCAAATAGCCAGCAGACAAAGAGTGAATTTATATACAAAGGTAACCTCAAAAGTAACAATTACCTAATGGCAGGCATCTCACTTACATAATTTAATTATGTAACAGTCATAATCTATAGTAACATTAAAGTTAATTACATGACTGGTAAATAAACTTTGACAAAATGTACAAATGGGGAACAGACAAAAACAAAAATGTATAATTTGCACCTTGAACTTTCAAATTATGTATCATGTTAACCTAAATTCTAACACCATTAACCCAACCAATGCCTTAACAATATTTTCACATAAAGTGTACATCACATGGAACCATCAACATCCTTTTCAAAATTAACAATCAAATGTATTTTTTCACCAATGTGGTAAAAATCTCATCCAAGACCACTCAATTACTGGATGCCACGTGGCATCTATGTGAAACTTTTACAAAATATTTAGCATTTTTATTGAACATGCACTTATACATGGCACTGTTATATTGGTTGGATGCCACATAGGCGGGCTAGGTTAACGGTGTTAAAGTTTTGACTAACCCGGTACACTATTGAAAAGTTCAGGATGGAAATCGTATGCATACATACATACATACATACATATATATACATCTACACATACATACATACATACATGCATGTGTGTGTGTGTGTGTGTATCAGTCCAATTACCAACTTTTACATTTCACTATAGTTCAAGGACCGAATGTGTGTTTTAACTCTTCACATCAAGTACTTACATTTGTAAAACATGAATCACCATAAAATTACTCTCTTTAAATCCATAGCATGCATGCTTCTAAGAAACTTTTCTTGTACACACACTACATAAGATAAAAACATAAGAAATTTTAACCTTAGGCTGAGTCATCACCAAATCTAAGCCTGACTGAGGTGTCTAGTCCCCTTTAACGTTAGATTTGGCTGCAGGATTATGCTTTGCCCAACTTTCTACCATTCCCTAACTGCCCAATTTGTAGCGTCATTCTCCCAAGCTATCACAATTGTCTAGTCCAGGCCATAAGATCATTTAAATCTTTATCCTGGATTCCAGGAGTGATTTGATGGACAAATAAGACCTAAGGAGATGCAACCATTACCTAGGGGCTCGGAACAAAATGTTCAAGTTAGAAACTTTTGTCAGGGATCCTAAGATAGGATGTGATGAATTTTATCATGAAATGCAATTAAAATGGAACAAGAAAAGAGGACTTACATAAATATTCCTGGTCTCCAAAGAGGTTTCTTGTCCCCCTTTGAAGATAATCTTATTATGGTGACAAGTACAGAGCCAAACAACCAGAAAGAATCACCTCTCACAGGAGGAATCAACCTAGCTGGAGGATCACCAAAAATGTGGCTAGGCAAGTCCAAGTATATGCTCACTGATTAGGAAGCTAACAGCTATTCTAAGGTAGTGTCATATATCAAGCCCAATCTCTCTTCAAGAAGTCCCTCTAGCCATGTAGAAGGGCCTTATTAGGATCATGGCTACTTGATTTTGTTGTCCAACCTTCATGCCAAAAGTGAACTAGGTTCAGCCAAGACTCACCTTAAAACTTCCATCTCGAGTCAGTTTAAGCACTGCAGGAAAACCCACTGTTATACAACCAAAAGCATGATCAATCACAGACTTCAGAGTAAACCTATTTAGCAAAATGCCTGTCCATATTTTACAATATTGCCTCATCAGCTGAGGTTCCTAGGAACTCTTTCAGCCTTCAACTTTGTCCAACCAAATGGAGGAGGGCACCTGACAACAATTCCATGCACCCCGGTTAACAATTATCTTGAACAAAAACTTCCAACCTTGATCATCCTATGAGAGAACTTATAGTAACCAAAATTTTCAATGACTATTCAAACCTCAGGAAAGCATTGTCATAAACGAATCAGACTTGCTTTAAAATTCAATATCTCACTCATCAAATTAGTCTGTCAGCTGTCCATTTATTTCACGAATCAATAAATTGGAATTGTCAACAACACGTTTGCTTTCATAAACTATATAGGTAAGTAATTCATGCCTGGGTGCTGGCCTTAATGATTTTAATTCTCTGAGGGGATCTGTAATCACATATTTACTACAGATTTCTTTTGCTGGTTGAACCTGCTTCCACCAAAAGTCAGAGAGCGCCACTTTGAGAACATCCCAGTATTCTACATCTCGGTATATCCTAAAAAGACTGCTTCCTTTGGGAGTCCAAACATAGAAATCCATCCAATCCCGGTCCATAATTTCCATTAGACCCTGAGCTTGTGGAATACAATAAAGGGGGATCCGCCTCCAAGGGGAAGCCTTGCTCATATCACCACCAAAAAATGGACACTTTATCTCCAACACTCCTCTAAGAGGCAACCCATAAACAAACCTGTCCACTAAGCCATCAGGTGAAGCTGCTAACCAACCTTCTTCTGCATTCATCTTACCATAAACCTGAAATTCAGGAAAAGAAACTGTATTTCCAGTAATCAGCTTGTATCTTTCAAGTGCTTCCTCTTCTTTAATATTGCTCCAACAGGTAGCCAAGTTACCAGAAAATGGCACAATTGCCCCAATTTTTTCTAGCCAGAGTTGGGCCCTTCGGCAAGGCCAAAAGCCAATAGCCCCACTAAATGTACTTGCTGTCAATTTCTGTTTTCTCTGTTCTTGCCAATTTTTGAACCAGTGCTGAAGACTACTGGACTGAAGAATAGAATGAGTTTCAGATGCAAATTTCTGATAACAAGTAGATTGTCTGGAACTACTTTGAGAAGGATGATTGAGAAATTGACTGCTGGTGATGAGCCTTTCACTAACTGGTTCGGGTAGACTCTGGCTGGAATATGTTCTCCTATATTTCAAATTAATGACAAGCAAACCAATCTTATGGATATTCCTGCTCTTGTAAGGTGATAGTTGAACGATTGAGGGAAAACAATAGGCAAGTTCTTCACTGCCCAAGGGAAAGAAAAGAAGTTTCATTAACTCATTATGAGAACCAAAATGACTCTTTATTGATATAAACTGATTGAGGTAAGGGAAGCAATCATCATTAAGAGATCCAACAATTGCAGAAATTTTGTTTGCCTACAAAAGCAAATAATAAATTTTGATGAACTAAAATGTTTTTCTATAGAATTAACGTTTGGAATACTAAAACGCTTAAAGTTTATATTTGTAGGGAACAATCATCGCTTATGTTTAAATGTGTGTGCCATTCGCCATTTTCACCATTCACTCGTTTAATCAAAATATGGTCTTGATTTTGACTCTCTACGTTTATTTTCTCTTAACTTTACTATTATTTTAGAATGAAAAGTTAAAATTTTTCTCAACTTAATTATGTAGTAATCACATGCTAATTACATTCGAATTTCTCAACTTTGTTTTATATCATCTAATCTTTACATGCGAATTTTCTAACAGACTTCCCAACCCTAATTTATGCCTAAAGCATTGCCATTTTGAATTTTAATTCAATAATTGCCTTAGTTTAGTCATTTTTCACTTCATTAAATTTTTTTTAAAAAAAAAGATAAATCCCCTTAAAAATCATATAAAACACAGTCTGAGTTTCGATTAGATGATGTAATGGGAGAGTCTAGCTAGACAGTGGAGCTCATATTTGTTTTAGGGATCACTAGAAA